TACCACTATCATCACCATCCACCCCACCTCCACCCCCCCATTGTCACTGTCACCATCACCACTGTCATCACCATCCATCTTACCTCCCCATCATCACTGTCACCATCACTGTCATCATCACTGTCACCATCCACCCCACCTCCACCCCCCACCACCGTCACTGTCAGCATCACTGTCATCACCATCTATCCACCACCATCATCACTGTCACTGTCACCATCACCTTTACCACTAGTCATCATTACCATCATCGTCATCACCATCACGTCACCACCACCATCACCACCGTCACCATCAATGTCAACACTACCACCACCATGACTGTCATCACCATCAATCACCGTCATCACCACTATCACCACTGTCATCATCCACCCCCAACTCCACCCCCACCATCGTCATTGTCACCATCACCTTCATCACCACCATCATCACCATCACCACCACCACCGTCATCATCACAACTGTCACTGTCATCACCACTGCCATCATCATCACCATCTCCATCATCACTGTCATCACCATCATCACCACCGTCATTACTACCACCATCATCACCACCGTCATCAATGTCAACACTACCACCACCATGACCGTCATCACCATCATCACCACCATCAGTATCTTCATCACCGCCACCACCATCACGTCATCACCACTACCATATCACCATCACCATCACCACTGCCATCATCACCATCATCACCATCACCATCACCATCACCACCATCTTCACCACGGTCACCAAAGCTACCAGCTCTGGTTGTATGCTGGCCTCTGGTGGTATGCTGGCCTCTGGCCTCCGGGCTTTGCCCTAACAGTTCCGGGAGGCAGGTATTATCTCCAGTTAGGACACAAGGAAACTGAGGTGGAGGGCTAAGTGGATTCTCCAAGGTCCCAGTGCCACCGAGTGATAAGCCTGGGACAAGCCCATACCCATCGCCAGAGCACTAGCTCCCACCACAGGGCTGTCACCCTCCCAGTGAACTCCTCCATGCTGGAGTTCAGCAAAATGCTGCAAGGTCAAAGGCAACTTTAGAGTCACAAAGATTCAACAGCTTGGTCTCATCTTGACCCCAGAAAGTAGGCTGGACAAGGTTTCCTTATCTTCCTAGGTCAACCCCTTGTCTTCACGGTTAGAAAAATGACAGTGAAAGAAACGCATCCCAAATAGGCTGGAGTACAGGGGTGTGATCACTGCTCACTGCAGCCTTGACCTCTGGAGCTCCAGCGATCCTCCCACTTCAGCCTCCAGAGGAGCTGGGACCACAGATACACAACACACTCGGCAATTTTATTTTTTGCAGAGGCAGGGTCTTACTGTGTTGCCTGCCCCTACCCCTGGAAGTTTTGTGGAAACAAATCAGCAAACCATTAGGATCTATTTAGCCTCTGAGACTGCATCATTCCTCCTCAGCGCTCTCCTTCTCGAGGCTCGGTCCTCGGCCACCCTCCCTTCTCTCCGGAGGCAGATCCAATGCAGGGGCTTCGAGTCCCATCTTTCCACGCCGAGAGCTACCGGCCCGGCCTCTCCCTGAGTTGCAGACCTGCGCCCCGATGGCTGCTCAACACGTGCACCCGGGCATCTCACGCCACCCCAGGCCACGAGCCAAGCTCCTCGCCAGCCCGCATCTCCTCCCATCTCCAGTGGCCGAAAACCCAGAGGGTCGGCGGTGACTCCTCCACTCCTCACCTGCCACCACCCATGCCCCAGTGGCCCTCACCAGCAGCACCCACCCACTGTGGCCCCGCAGGGACGTCGGCGTTGCTATCACGACCCACTGGGGCCCCGCAGGGACGTCGGCGTTGGGATCACGACCCACTGGGGCCCCGCAGGGACGTCAGTGTTGAGATCATGACCCACATATCACTCAGCACCCAAACTGAGTGGAACCTCCCGGAGGCAGCACTGCTGAGTTCAAGGCACATCTGGCCCTGCATGGGGCCAGTGCTGCAGAATTGGTGGGAAGGGGCTTGCCAGTGACTCGCGGGGGAACAAGAGGCAAGCCTAGCCCCAGAGAGCTCAGTCTCTTTGTGAGGAGAAAGAAATTTCTAGAAACCATCCAAGCATTCAACAACTCCTAGAATCAGGTTCTTCTCAAAAGACAACCTCAGAGTCCCCACCTCGGCATCCTGGCCCACAGAGGATGATTTCAAGACAGACCAAAACTGCAGCAGTGACTCTTCCTAAAGCCTTTTCTCAGGGTCCTGCAAACTTGCTCTCATACATGGCATTAACTGCCAGCTGGCCCGGGTGTGCTGCAAAGAGGGTTGGAATCCTCTTCTGCGGCCGCTGGCCAGCAGTGGGGCCGTCAGCAGGGCACCACACCTCTCAGGGCCTCCGTTCCTCGGCACAGGGCATGGATGCTGCCACTCAATAACTGCCACTCAGTTCTGCACCCAGGGACGAGGGGCCGGTTGGACAGCCTGTGTACTGCACAGACACACCCTGATGGGAGGCAGTAGAGGCTCAGTCCCAGCCCCAGTTCTGCCTCCCAGCCCCGAGCCTGGCTGGTGGGGAGGGAGCCCCTCTGTGGTCCATCGGGGCTCGATGAGCACCCAGTTGCCTTCTGTGCTAGCAGCACTTGGTGATAACAGCATTACTGCCACCTACACATCGGCCTTTTTTCTGCTCCTGAGAGACGCAACCTGCACTCAGGTATGAAAGCAGAAGGCCAAAAATACCAGAAGCCGACAAGTGCACGAAAGATGCTGAACATCGCCAGTCATTAGAGAAATGTCAGTCAAAGCCACAGCTGCACACTCATTAGGACGGAGATCATCAAAATAACGTGCATGGCTGAGGACCTGCAGAAATGGGCCCGTGCGCTGCTGGCGGGGAGGTGAAACGGCGGCTGCGAGGGAAACAGCCTGGCAGGTCCCCATCACCTGAACTACCACGTGACCCAGTAACGCCACTGCTAGATTTGCACTCAAAAGAACTGGAAATAGACTCAAACAGACTCTTGCACACAAACCTTCACCATGGCACCACTCACAACAGCCAAGGGTGGGAACACTGCAAATGCCCCTTGGCAGGTGCACGCGCAAACGTGGGGCCTCCACCGGACAACGGAACAACATTACCCAGCCAGGCAGAGAGAGGAAGGCCTGAGCAAGCAGCCACACGGATGGACCCCGGAGAAGCCAGACACTAAAAGCTCACACACAACTCCATTCTGTCAAATGTGCAGAAGAGGGAAGTCCGCAGAGGCAGAAGGCAGATTGGAGGCCACTGGGGCCAATGTAGAGTGGAAGCAGGGGGTGAGTACGGGGCCTCCTTTTGGGGTGAGGAAAATGTTCTGGAATCAGAGAGGTGATAGCTGCCCAACTCTGTACCTCAATGTGCTAAAAGCTGCCTAACTGTACACTTTATTTGTATATTTTATTCCTTTTTTAAGACAGAGTCTTATTCGGTCACCCAAGCTGGAGTGCAGTAGTGTGATCTCGGCTCACTGCCATCTCCGCCTCCCAGGTTCAAGTGATTCTCCCGTCTCAGCCTCTGAGTAGCTGGGATTAGAGGTGTGTGCCACCACACCTGGCTAATTTTTGTATTTTTAGTATAGTTGGGGTTTCACCATATATTGGTCAGGCTGGTCTTGAACTCCTGACCTCAGGTAATCCACCCATCTTGGCCTCCCAAAGTGCTGGGATTATAGGTGTGAGCCACCATGCCTGGCCCTAACTGTACACTTTAAAATGTCAAATTCAATGTCATGTGTATTTTACTATAATTAAAACAAAAAGGTGTATGAAGTCAGAATCAAGATTTCAACAAATAGGCCAGGAGCAGTGACTCATGCCTATAATCCCAGCACTCCAGCAGGCTGAGTGGGGCAGAGTGCATGAGTGCAGGAATTCGAAACCAGCCTGGGCAACATAGTGGAACCCCGTCTCTACAAAAAACACAAAAAATAGCCGGGCATGGTGGTGCACGCCTGTAGTGCTGGCTCCTCTGGAGGCTGAAGTGGGAAGATCACCTCAGCCCAGCAAGAGGTAGAGGCTGCAGGAGGAGGTGGAGGCTGCAGGAGGTGAGCTGTGATCATGCTCTGCACTCCAGCCTGGGTGACAGAGTGAGACGCTGCCTCTACAAAAATACAAAATTATACAGCTGGGGGTGGTGGCTCATGCTGTAGTCCCAACACTCTGGAGGCTGAAGTGGGAGGATCACCTGAGCTGGGGAGTTTGAGGCTCCATGGGCTGTGATCAAGTCACTCCAGCCTGGGTGACAGAGTAAGACCCTGTTTAAGACCCTATTTCCAAAAAAAAAAAGATTTCAACAAATAAACCATTGATCCTATAATCAATAAACTTCTCCCCCAGAAACAGCTGGTGTGGGAAGTTCTGCTACACAGAGCCGTGGCAGCTCAGCACGTCCCTCAAAGCTGGGGCCTTGTGCAGGATGGAGTGGGGCAGCGCCTCTGGGCAGCTTCCTGTCCCACCCCATCACCCGCCCGGTTCAGCTCAACCCCAGGGATTTCCTAACAAGGGTGACGACGTCCTCAAACTCAACCGTAGTCTGCTGGAAGGCGACGTATCAGTGGTTGGCCACACATGCGAAGGTCGCGGAGACGATACCCATCTTCACCTTTTCAAAGCTTAGACACGAGTGCTCTCTGCGGTGGTCCGCTCACTGCCTGCGGTGTGCAGTGCACGGACAGCCGTGCGGGCCAGCAGCCTGAGAGCAGGAGCTGCACTGTGCATCCTGGCCGCGGAGTTGGCTGTGCCGTTTGGGTTTGTGGAGCACGCACTGTGACATTCACACAACGGTGCCATCACCTGACCAGGCACTTTCCAGAACACAGCCCGGTTGTTACGCGATGCATCACTATTGATTTTGCGCAAACTCCATCAATATGAGGCCAGGACTCTCATGCCTGGATTAATTTTGCTAAAAGCCTGGAGCATTCATTATGACCTTCTAATGCCCTCTTCCCCAGGTGGTGGCCCCAGGGGGGCGCATTCCCGGGACCCCAAGCGCCGTGAGAAGTGGCACCTACCTCGTCGTCGTGCACCAGCTCTTTCTTCACCACTTTCATGGCGTAAATTTGGTCATTCTTCTTCAACCGCACCAGGAGAACCTTGGCGTAGCTCCCGCGCCCTATGACTCTGATTAGGTCGAAGTCCTGCAGCCCGAGCCCCTGAGAGATTTTGATTCCATCCATCCCATCAATAACTGGCTTAAGGTCCTAGGAAGGGAGAACAAGACCCCAGAAAGTGAGGGGAGAGGGGTCCCGGGAGATTCAGAGGACCACACATCACTCATGCGGTCCCAAAAGAGATCTGCTCCTCAGAGCCTAGAGCCTCACGATTCCAGTCTCAGCTCTGCGTCCCACAGATCCCACCCCCACACTCCCATCTAAACCGGGGCACAAAAGGTGAGAACTTCAGGCTGTGCTTCTGAGGAAGGTGCTAGAAAGTCGGAAGCTGCTCGTTTCCACAGACCATGGCTCTGGTCACAGCTGCCAGTGGGAGGGACCCCCAGGCCTTCAGCCCTATCAGTCGGGCTGAAGAGGTGGCCACTGGGACATGCGGCCCAGGGCCTGGGCCCATCCTTCCCCATCAGGGCCCTCCCTCGGGAAGGAAGGTAAAGCAAACGTAGCTAATGCCGGCCAAGAGCTCCCAAACCGGCAAGCACACATTATTAGAAATAATTATTAGAAATATACAGGAGAAAGGCGCTCCGAGGAAGAACAGAAGCCTCGGCCTCCTGCAAGCTACACCTGGCAAGGATGTTGGGGTGGAGGAGGTAGTTTGCTAGGAGGTGCTGTTCTGTGCAGCAGAATGGATTCTGCTTTTTTTGGGACAGGGTCTTCCTCTGCCACCCAGGCTGGAGTGCAGTGGTGCAATCTCGGCTCACTGCAGCCTCCACCTCCCAAGCTCAGGCGATCCTCCCACCTCAGCCTCCCAAGCAGCTGGGACCACAGGCCCATGCCACCATGCCCAGCTAATTATTTTGTATTTATTTTTGCAGGAATAGGGTTTCACTACGCTGCCCAGGCTGTTCTCAAGCTTCTGGACTCAAGTGATCTGCCCGGCCCAGCCTCCCAAAATGCTGGGATTGGAGGTGTGAGCCACCGTGCCCGGCTTTGGATTCTGCTTTTTTTTTTTTTTGAGATGGAGTCTTGCTCTGTCGCCCAGGCTGGAGTGCAGTGGCCGGATCTCAGTTCACTGCAAGCTCCGCCTCCCGGGTTTACGCCATTCTCCTGCCTCAGCCTCCCGAATAGCTGGGACTACCTACAGGCGTCCGCCACCACGCCCGGCTATTTTTTTGTATTTTTTAGTAGAGACGGGGTTTCACCGTGTTAGCCAGGCTGGTCTCGATCTCCTGACCTCGTGATCCGCCTGTCTCGGCCTCCCAAAGTGCTGGGATTACAGGCTTGAGCCACCGCACCCGGCCTTGGATTCTGCTTTCTAAGTGACCCGGCCTCCCTCCAGACACAGGATGGCCAGGAAGGAGCACAAGTTGTGAGGGTGGTATGTGCTGCTGCTCTGGAAAGGTGTGGGCTTCGCCAGTGCAGCCCTTTCTTGGGTTTTACGAGCAGAGGCTGAGAACACAGCAAGCTCTTCTGTTCCCTTCTCAGGGTTTGTGGTGCAGAGCTGGCCACAGACGCGAGGCTCAGTTGAGCTTCTTGGCTCGAGTTGGGGAAGGACATGAAAGGGCATTAGAGGGGTTTGCCAGGACGGCCAAATGAGGCAACAAAAGGAAGGCCGTGGTGCAGACACAATTTGATAAAAACTGCAGCTCAAAAGCCAGCCCCTGGGCCACAATACTGCCTGGGTGGAGAGAATGTGGAGCGCGGCTTCCCCCTTCAGGGTGTGGTCCCCAGACCACCTGTGGGGACAGCTGCCTCCAGGGAATCATCAAGGATGTGCCTGAAATAAGACCCAAGAATAAAGGCTTCTTTCTAGAAACCCACACCCGTGAGGATTAGCAGCATCCCAGACCGTGTATTTCACATCCAGATTTCCGTGACTGCCTCAGAGACAGACTCACAGACTTTCAAGAGGACGCTGGAAACGGTAGCGAGCTGCTCCGCAGACTCACCTCAGAGTCGTCTTTAATGCTGTCATGTTTCCGGGATGAGGAAATGTAAGCAACTGGCGAGAGAGGGAGGAAGAGGGAGGAAGAGGCGTTACAGTGTCATCAGGAATGCGCTGGGAACACAGCGACCCCGTGGGCCCTGCTCCTCCACCGGGCGACGGTGAAGGGCGACTCTACACAGCAGCCATGTCTGATTCTAGTTTAGAGTCTTCTGAAAATGCAGTTTCCTGGGCCCCACTCAGACCTGCCGACTCTGACCATGGGACCTGGGGATGTACATTTGTGACACACGCCCCCAGGGGTCCATCTGCAAATAATTAGTCATCAGATTTTGGTGTCTAGTGAATGGGTGGGTGGGGGCAGGAGGGGATGTCTAGTGAATGGATGATGACTAGATGGGGGATGAATGGAGGCCTGGATGGAAGACAGACAGATGGAGAGGTCAGTGGACAACAGATGGATGAATAGATGGAGAGGTCAGTGGAAAATAGATGGATAGATGGAGAGGTCAGTGGACAACAGATGGAGAGGTCAGCGGAAAATAGATGGATAGATGGAGAGGTCAGTGGACAATAGATGGATAGATGGAGTGATCAGTGGACAATAGATGGACTGATGGAGACATCAGTGGACAACAGATAGATGATGGAGTGACTGTGTGGACACAGGATGGACTGATGGAGCATCAGTGGACAAATAGATAGATGGATGAGGCCAGTGTGGACAGATGAGATGGAGACCGCCAGTAGACATTATTAGATGATAGGTAGATGGAGAGGCTGTGGACAATAAATGGAGAGGTCAGTGGACAATAGATGGATGGATAGACGGAAAGATCAGTGACAAACAGATAGATGGATGGAGGCTGTGGACAAGAGATGGAAAGATGGAGACATCAGTGGACAATAGATGATGGATAGATGGACAGTCAGTGATCTATAGATGATAGATGGAGAGACCAGTGGACAATAGATAGATGGAAAGGACAGAGACGTCAGTGGACAATAGATGGATGGGTAAATGAGGCCAGTAAAGAGATGGAAGATGGAGATGCTAGTGGACAAAGATGGATGGATAGATGGAGAGGTCAGTGGACAATAGGATGGAGAGGCCAGTGGACAACAGATGGAGGTAATGGAGACGCCAGTGGACAATGATGGAGAGATGGATAGGCCAGTGGACTATAGATGGATAGATAGGAGAGATCAGTGGACAATAGATAGATGGACAGATGGAGAGGTCAGTATAAACGGATGGATAGATGGATAGATGGAGTGGCTAGTGGACAAATAGATGGATCGACAGACACAGAGGTCAGTGGACAATAGATAGATGGAGATGGGAGACGTCAGTGGATGTCTGGATGGGTAGATGGAGAGGTCAGTGGACAAATGGATGGGTAGATGGAGAGTGGGGGCTGGTGGACAAACAGATAGATGGATGGAGAGGTCAGTGGACAAGATGGAAAGATGGAGACATCAGTGGACAATAGATGGATGGATAGATGGACAGGTCAGGATTGATGGATGATGAGAGGTTGGTGGACAATAGATGGATGGATGGACAGGTCAGTGGACGATAGATGGCCAGATGGAGAGGTCAGTGGACAATAGATGGAAAGATGGAAACGTCAGTAGATAAGATGATTGATAGATGGAGAGGTCAGTGGACGGTAGATGGATAGGGATGGAGAGGTCAGTGGAGCTGGGTTAGATGGATGGATAGATGACAGGCCAGTGGACAATAGATGGATGGGTAGATGGAGAGGTCAGTGGACAACAGATGGATCGATAGAGAGAGGTCAGTGGACAATAGATAGATGGAAAGATGGAGACGTCAGTGGACAACAGATGGATGGATAGATGGAGAGGTCAGTGGACAGTCAGATGATGGTGGATGACGGAGAGGTCAGGACACACAGACGTGATGGATGGAGAGGCCAGCTGACAACAGATGGAAAGATGGAGGCGCTGGTGGACAAATAGATGGATGGATAGATGGACAGGTCATGGGACGATAGATGGATAGATGGAGAGATCAGTGGATGTTAGATAGATGGACAGATGGAGAGGTCAGTGGACAAACAGTTGGATGGATAGATGGAGAGAGGCCAGTGGACAATAGATAGATGGAAACATGGAGAGACGCCAGTGGATAATGGATGTGGGTAGATGGAGAGGTCAGTGGACAATAGATGGATGGATAGATGGAGAGGTCAGTGGGACAAAGTCAGGATTTGATGCAGAGGTCAGTGGACAATAGATGGAAAGATGGAGATGTCAGTGGACAATAGTTGGATGGATAGGGATGGAGAGGCCAGTGGACAATAGATGGATCGAGCAGATGGAGAGGTCAGTGGACAACAGACAGATGGATAGATGGAGAGGTTAGTGGACAATGGATAGATAGATATATGGAGAGGTCAGTGGACAATAGATGAATGGATAGATGGAGAAGTCAGTGGACAATAGATAGATGGATATATGGAGAGGCTGTGGACAAAAGATGGATCAATAGATGGATATACGGAGAGGTCAGTGGACAATAGACGGATCGATAGATGGAGAAGCCAGTGGACATTAGATAGATGGATGCAGAGGTCAGTGGATGGTTATTAGATAGATGGGATAGATAGATAGGTTAGTGGATAATAGTTAGATGGGTAGGATGGTCAGTGGACAATAGACGGGATGGACAGATGAACAGGTCAATGGACAAACAGATAGATGGATATATGGAGAGGTCAGTGGACAATAGATGGAGAGGTCAGTGGACAACAGATGGAAAGATGGAGACGTCAGTGGATGACAGATGGATAGGGGATGGAGACCAGTGGACAAATAGATGGAGATGGAGAGGTCAGTGGACAACAGACAGATGGACCGGGATGGAGAGGTCAGTGGACAATGGATGGATAGATAGAGAGGTCAGTGGACAATAGTTGGATGGATAGATGGAGAGGTCAGTGATTACTAGATGGATCAGATAGATGGAGAGGTCAGTGGACAATAGATAGATGGATAGATGGAGAGGTCAGTGGACAAAAAGATAGATGGATGGCAGAGAGGCTGTAGGACAATAGATGGATCAATAGAGAAGTCAGTGGACACAGATAGATGGATGCAGAGGTCAGTGGGACAATAGATGGAAAGATGGACACGCCAGTGGACAATAGATGATAGGTAGATGGAGAGGTCAGTGGACAATAAATGGAGAGGTCAGTGGACAATAGATGGATGGATAGACGGAAAGATCAGTGGACAATAGATAGATGGATGGAGAGGTCAGTGGACAAGATGGAAAGATGGAGACATCAGTGGACAATAGATGGATGGATAGATGGACAGGTCAGTGGACGATAGATGGATAGATGGAGAGACTACAGTGACACAGATAGATGGAAAGACAGAGATGTCAGTGGACAATAGATGGATGGGTAAATGGAGAGGTTGTGTGGAAATAGATGGAAAGATGGAGATGTCAGTGGACAACAGATGGATGGATAGATGGAGAGGCTGTGTGGACAATAGATGGAGAGGTCAGTGGACAAATAGATGGAAAGATGGAGACGTCAGTGGACAAATGGATGGAGAGATGGACAGGTCAGTGACTTGATAGGGGATGGATAGATGGAGAGATCAGTGACACAGATAGATGGACAGATGGAGAGGTCAGTGGACAACGGATGGATAGATGGATAGATGGAGTGGTCAGTGGACAACAGATGGATCGACAGACACAGAGGCTGGGGTGTGGACAATAGATAGATGGAAAGATGGAGGACGCCAGTGGACAATGGATGGGTAGATGGAGAGGTCAGTGGACAATGGATGGGTAGATGGAGAGGTCAGTGGGACAAATAGATAGATGGATGGAGAGGTCAGTGACAAGATGGAAAGATGGGAGACATCAGGGGACAACAGATGGATGGATAGATGGACAGGTCAGTGGACGATAGATGGATAGATGGAGAGATCAGTGGACAATAGATAGATGGACAGATGGAGAGGCCAGTGGACAAATAGTTGGATGGATAGGATGGAGAGGTCAGTGGACAAGGATAGATGGAAACATGGAGACGTCAGTGGATAATGGATGGGTAGATGTGAGGTGAGGTCAGTGGACAATAGATGGATGGATAGATGGAGAGGCCAGTGGACAGCAGACAGATGCAGAGGTCAGTGTGGACAATAGATGGAAAGACATGTCAGTGGACAACAGTTGGATGGATAGGGGATGGAGAGGCCAGTGGACAATAGATGGATCGATAGATGGAGAGGTCAGTGGACAACAGACAGATGGATAGATGGAGAGGTTAGTGGACAACAGATAGATAGATAGATGGAGAGGTCAGTGGACAATAGATGAATGGATAGATGGAGAAGTCAGTGGACAATAGATAGATGGATATATGGAGAGGTCAGTGGACAAAAGATGGACTAGATAGATGGATATATGGAGAGGTCAGTGGACAATAGATGGATCGATAGGATGGAGAAGCCAGTGTAGTCACAGATAGATGGATGCAGAGGTCAGTGGACAATAGACATGATAGATAGACAGGTTAGTGGACAATAGTTAGATGGGTAGATGGTCAGTGGACAACAGATGGATGGATAGATGAACAGGTCAATGGGAGTCAAACAGATAGATGGATATGCATGGAGAGGCCAGTGGACAGGATGGAGAGGTCAGTGATTGGGTCAGATGGAAAAGATGGAGACGCCAGTGGATGACAGATGGATAGATGGAGACGTCAGTGACAACAGATGGATGGAGAGGTCAGTGGACAAACAGACAGATGGACCGATGGAGAGGTCCAGTGGACAAATGGATGGATAGATAGAGAGGTCAGTGGGACAATAGTTGATGGATAGATGGAGAGGTCAGTGGACAATAGATGGATCGGGAGCAGATGGAGAGGTCAGTGGACAATAGATAGATGGATAGATGGAGAGGTCAGTGGACAAAAGATAGATGGATATATGGAGAGGTCAGTAGACAATAGATGGATCAATATAAAGCCAGTGGGACAATAGATAGATGGATGCAGAGGCTAGTGGACAATAGATGGACAGATGGAGAGGTTAGTGGAGCTGGCAACAGTTGGGATGATAGGAGTGAGAGGTTGTGGTCAGCAGATGGATGGATAGATGGACAGGCCAGTGGACAATAGATAGATGGATAGATGTAGAGGCTAGTGGACAAACAGATAGATGGATGAATGAGAGGTCTGGGTGGACAATGAAAGATGGAGACATCAGGACAACGATGGGTAGATGGAGACAGCCAGTGGACAACAGATGGATGGAGAGGTCAGTGGACAAGATGGAAGATGGAGATGCCAGTGGACAATAGATGGAGCTTGGATAGATGGAGAGGTCAGTGGACAAGGCCAGATAGATGGATAGATGGAGAGAGGTCAGTGATTAAGCACAATAGATGGATGGATAGATGGAGAGGTCAGTGGACAATAGATGGATAGATGGAGAGGTCAGTGGACAATAGACGGATAGATGGAGAGGTCAGTGGACAACAGATACATGGATAGATGGAGAGGTCAGTGGACAATAGATGGACGAATGGAGGATGGGTGAGTGGGGGATGGCTGGTTGGCTGGATGACTAGATGGATGGATGGAAGATGGAGGATGGATGGATGGATGGATGGAGGATGGGTGGGTGGAGGATGGCGGGCTGGCTGAGGACCGGTTGGTTGGCCAGGTGGGTGAATGGATGATGTATGGATGTATATCTGTATAGAGGATGGGCGGGTGGAGGATAGCTGTTGGCTGGATGACTAGATGGATGGAAAGAAGATGGATGGAGGATGGATGGATGGATGGATGGATGGATGGAAGGAAGGATGGACGGATGGATGGATAGATGCAGGATGGGCGGGTGGAGGATGGCTGGCTGGCTAGCTGAGGACCAGCTGGTAGGCTAGGTGGGTGAATGGATGACGTACAGATGAATATCTGTATAGAGGATGGGTGGGTGGAGGATGGCGGGCTGGCTGAGGGCCGGTTGGTTGGCCAGGTGGGTGAATAGATGATGTACGGATGTATATCTGTATAGAGGATGGGCAGGTGGAGGACGGCTGGTTGGCTGGATGACTAGATGGATGGATGGAAGATGGATGGAGGATGGAGGATGGATGGATGGATGGATGGATGGAGGATGGGCAGGTGGAGGATGGCTGGCTGGCTGACCAGCTGGTTGGCTAGGTGGGTGAATGGATGATGTACGGACGTACAGATGTATATCTGTATAGAGGATGGGGGGGGGGTGGGGGATGGCTGGTTGGTTAGATGACTAGATGGATGGATGGAGGACGGAGGATGGATAGATGGATGGAGGATGGGTGGGTGGAAGATGGCTTGCTGGCTGGCTGGCTGGCTGGCTGAGGACCAGTTGATTGGCTAGGTGGGTGAATGGATGATGTACGGATGTATATCTGTATAGAGGATGGGCGGGTGGGAGATGGTTGGTTGGCTGTATGACTAGACGGATGGATGGATGGATGGATGGATGGATGGATGGATGGATGGTTAGATGGATGGATGGATGGATGGATGGATGGATGGATGGAGGATGGATGGATGGATGGATGGATGGATGGATGGATGGATGGATGGACGATTGGATGGATGGATGGAACAGGATGGATGGATGGTGGATGGATGGAGGATGGATGGATGGATGGATGGTTGGATGGATGATGGTTAGATGGATGGATGGATGGATGGATGGACGGATGGATGGATGGAGGATGGATGGATGGATGGATGGATGGATGGATGGAGGATGGAGGGATGATGGATGGATGGATGGATGGATGGATGGATGGAGGATGGATGGAGCATGATTTAAGTCGACGGATGATTTGACGGACGGACGGTCAGGACGGACGGAGACCTGATTGATGGACGGACGGACGATACTTGACGGATGGATGGTCAGACGGACGGACGGACAATGGATGGATGGATGGATGGATGGAGGATGGATGGATGGATGGATGGAAGGATGGAGGATGGGTGGGTGGAGGATGGCTGGCTGGCTGAGGACCGGTTGGTTGGTTAGGTGGGTGAACGGATGATGTACGGACGTATATCTGTATAGAGGATGGGTGGGTGGTGGGGCAGGTGGGCAGGCAGTTGTTTGTGAGGCATCTTTTTTGCGTGAGGCACTGTGTGAACTAAGTGCTTTATGTTCTGTGGTCTCGCATCGTCCTCCCTGGGCTCCCAGTGAGACAGAACTCACGTGCTGCATCAAGTGAAAGTGAGGCTCTTGCACCCCCGTGCAGAGGTGCAGGTGGAGGCTCAGAGCTGGGCTGTAAGTCCAGCTGGTGTTTGAGCTCTCTCTCTGAATGCTTCTTAGCAATAAAACAAGTCCTTCCCCATAAACAAAACCTCACAAAAATCTAAGGACCATGCCACTGCCACGCTGTGTGTGCAGCAGTCACCTCGCAGTCTTTCCCCAGACGGGGTTCAGCTCTGTGCAGCAGCCAGATTGTGGGAGGTGCCCGGCCGTGGTGGCTGCTGCACTAAGTGCCTTTGAGAATTCCCGGAGCTGGTTAGAGGAAGAGGCTCTGCACCCCTGGGCTGCCTCGCCGTGGTGGCTGCTGCGAGAAGTGCCTTCGAGAACTCCCGGAGCTGGTATAGAGGAAGAGGCTCTGCACCCCTGGGCTGCCACAACAGTGCTTCACGGAGGCATCCCTGCCCAGCAGCCTCCAGGGAGGGCCAGCTCACTCTGCCCATCTCTGCCAGGGATTGAGAAGAGGCCCTGGAGAGCCTCATCCCCAGCCCTGGGGAAGGGTGGCCAGGCTTGAAGACAATGACCCCTGTGGAGCAGACGGGACTGAGAAAGGACTCGTGGCCAGAAGGCAGAGGTGAGCAGGGTGAGGTGACGCCCAGGCTCCACCCAGCTGAAGAAAGCAGTGCCTACTTCCATCTGTCTCCTCGGAAGGAAGGTCGGCGTCCTCGTTCTTGTCATCTACTGGAGGCTCTTGGGAAGGCATGACAGAATCCTGCCGGAGAGACGGAGAGACGGCAGCATGACCAAGTGCTGGAGCAGGTGTTACAAGGTAGCTTCTGTAAACACTTCGTGACTTTTTTTTAATTAAAAACTTTTTTTTTTACAGACAGGGTCACACTCTGTCATCATCCAGGCTGGAGGGCAGTGGCATGATCACGGCTCACTGCAGCTTCAACCTCCTGAGCTCAAGCAATCCTCCTGCCTCAGCTTCCAGAGCAGCTGGCACTAGAGGTGCGCACCACCACACCTGGCTAATTTTTGAATTTTTTGTAGAGATGGGGTCTCACCATATTGCCCAGGCTGGTCTTGAACTCCTGGCCTCAAGTGATCCTCCCACCTTGGCCTCCCAAAGTGTTGGGATTACAGGCGTGAGCCTCTGCACCTGGCCACTTCAAGACTATCTATGATTCACATATTTGCACATTACAAAGGTTACATTGTAATATAGTATATAAAAATCTAATTATGCTATTGTACCAAATAAAGAACATAAACACTACCTATGATTCTGCAGACAGAGGTGGCCACTCAGTACTGTAGGCCAAGTGCTTTCTACAATTGGATCTTTTGCACAATGCTTGATCATCTCTCCTGACCCAAAGCTGCATCCTGGCAGTAACCAAACATCAGGGGGCCATTCTAAGGGCCTCTGGGTTCCGCCTGCAGGTGCATCATAATGGAGTCACCCGTACTGGCAGTCAGTTGGGTGGCAGCCTCTGGCCTCCCTCTGCCTCTAGCTGACCACATTTCTGGGGCCGGTCTCATTTGCTTATGCTAAAGTGGACTCATGGGGTCAAAGGGCATTACAGGCTTTTTGGCAGATGCAGCTGAAGGACCTGTGGAAGGACTATGGCAATGCATGCACCAGCCTGCGTGACCCCCCATCCCTGTGCCTGGTGATCCTGGGGTGACACCCTGATCCAGACTCTGTCTTTATCCCGTAATAGAGGAGAGGGCACATCACCCCTACAGGCACCTTTCCTCCCATGCCACGGCAAGATGCAGACGAGCCACCCTCCCCAGACACACCCACCGCACACTGCAGTGGGGCCCAGGGAGCTGAATGTTCAGTCCAGGCCTCGCCCCCGTGGTTCAGTGAGATGCAGGGGGCCACGCGGAAATGCCAGAGGCAGCCTTCAATAAGGAAAAGTCAACAAGGCCCCAAAAGGCCTTGTTGTGGGAGGTACCCACAACACCTCCCAAGTGTGGGAGGATGCTTCAAGTCCAAGCACTCAGGGACGGCAGAGGGAAGGTGCCGCCCTCATCACAGGCTGGGCATGGCTTCCCAGGGAGGATTCCCGAGAGAGGCTCCAGATGTCCGGAGCCTCAGCGTGCCCAATGCTACTGAGGTCAGACCTGGCTTTCATCTCCACAGTCCCGAAGAGCTGGTTCAGGACTGGAGTATGAATGAACCTTACCCCCGCCCCACTGAGCAGAGCACGCCAGGTCCTACCTGAGACTGTCACCTGAGCCTCATGCCGCAATGAGCAGAGCATGTTGGGGGCTCGTGGGGGCTCAGGAAGATGGGTCCTACCCGAGACTGCCGCCTGAGTCTCACGCTGCAGCCCAGAGGTAGGATAGCACCACGGCCCCTCTTGAAGAACCCAGGGTCACCAAGGTCTGCTTGGACAATGGGCTGGCAGCCACGCCCTGGCCCCGCCCGTGCTCCCTAGGGCCCACCCAGCCCTGCAACTCACCATATGCTTCCTGCAGGTCAGCGGGACGAGGCCGTGGCAGCGCTTATGGACCAGTAGTTTGCAGTTGATGCACCTGTAGCCTTGCCTCGCGAGGCCCCATATCCTCTCGCTGCACTGACCGCAGTACGCTCTCTGTAGACGGGAACACAGCGTCAGGCCCAGGCCATGCTGAGGGGCCAGTGGAGAGGGCAGGCAGAGCCTTCCACACCTGTACCTTCTCAAAAGAGGACACTGAGCCAGGCAACAGGCGGCCCCGGCACCTTGTCCCTTCCGGGCGCCAGGCTTGCCCAAGCTCGGTAGCCTCCTCTTGGGTCCACCCCAAGGTTGGGGGAACCAACAGCCCCAAGGAGCGGCTTGGAACCCTGCTCTGCATGAGAGAACACAGGGGAGGTCCCATCGGGCAGGGGTGACGAGGCGCTGCTTCAGGCAAGGCCCCCTGGTTTGCAGGGGCCGGGGGGCTGCAGCTCCTGCTGGGCTCTGCGTAGGGCAGCCTGGGGTCCTGTCTAGGGCTGAGCAGAGTGTGGGGCACCCCCTGCCTGATCTTCATTCGAACAGAACCTCCTCCTGACAGCCTCAGAGAAGGCGGACTCGGACCACAGACATCTCGAACTGCTACACCACAGCCTGCACTTATCTTAGTATTCTTTGTTCAGTATTTTTCAAGATTTTAAATGATCCTTCTTTATTCTTCATGGTTCTGAACAATTCAAAAATGATAGTAATTATCAGTTTGTTTGGCAACGTTTTCACAAACGTTTAAATGTTACGAAAAGCATAACTATGAATGTTGCCGGGACCTGCTTGGACATTTTCTGCCTTGCCCAAGTGCCTGAAGGGTTCCTGGGAGCAAATCATCTACACTGTCACTGCGTGCCCAGAGTCTCCAGTTTAAGATTCTTTCCAGACATAACCCTTTCATATGCTTTTTCCTCTTTTACCATTTTTCACGAATTTCCTTCCTATTACAGAGCCTCACCTCATACCGAGTGAAGAGGAAATACAGTGTACTGTGAACGGCATGAACTGAATTCACGTGAGGAAACGGGACCCTCAGTACGTGTGGGCACCAGGTGCAGCTGAGCAAACGGTGCTCACACCCCCTATGGGACTCTCCTGCTCATCAGAAAGAGCCTGCTTGGGGCGCCAGGGCCCAGGGACCCTTCCCCCGCCCACAGCCCGCTTGTTTGGGTGGGGACAGATAACCAGCACCTAGGACAGTGCCCAGCACACAGCAGGCATCAGGTAAGAAAACACACGGGCATCATCGATTTCAACTTCCGTAACAGGAAAAAGGAGCTGACTCCGCATCCTCTGCACATGCTACCTACATCAGCCTGGCCATGACAGAGCCAAACCAGGACTGTGGGCTCTATCTGAAGGAGGGATGGGTGGCAGGGGGCATCCCACCCGAGACCTCTGACTCAGGGCCAATGTAGCTTAACGCTGGCACCGGGAGTTTTGCCCCAGTTGGTACCCGTTGGATGTGTGGACCCTGGAGTTAAAGGAGGTGCTTTGGCTGCTGAATGTGTGGACCCTGGAGTTAAAGGAGGCAGGCTCTGCCTCCCAGGTTCAAGTGATTCTCCTGTCTCAGTCTTCTGAGTAGCTGGAATTATAGGTACCTGCCACCACGTCTGGCTAATTTTTTATTTTTAGTAGAGACAAAGTTTCACAAAGTTGGCCAGGCTGGTCTCGAACTCCTGACCTCAGGTGATCTGCCCACTCCGGCCTCCCAAAGTGCTGGGATTACAGGCATGAGCTACCGCACCAGGCCTCCCTGCTCATATTTTCTTTTCTTTTTCTTTTTTTTTTTTGAGACGGAGTCTTGCTCTGTTGCCCAGGCTGGAGTACAGTGGCATGATCCTGGCTCACTGAAACCTCCAGGTCCCTGGTTCAAGCTATTTCTCTGCCTCAGCCTCCCCAATAGCTGGGATTGCAGGCACCCACCACTATGCCTGGCTAAATTTTGTTGTATTTTTAGATGAGATGGGATTTCACTATGTTGACCAGGCTGGTCTCGAACTCCTGACCTCAGGCAATCCGCCTGCCTCGGCCTCCCAAAGTGCTGGGATTACATGTGTGAGCCATCACACCCGGCCTCCTGCTCGTATTTTCAATGACCCATTTTCATGTTTTGGACCTTTACCTATTCAGATGGTTGGAGCCCCTGTTTGGGCTTTTACCAGCTTGGGCTCAGGATATCCTGCTTCCCACCGTGTTTTGTGGTTTTCAGTTGCGAGCTCAAATGCCTGATTCATTGATTGGCGGGAATTCTTTGAGGCTGGCTTGAAGGGGAATTGCATTGGCCTCTGCCAGCCACCTGGGGGCACTGCTTGGACCAAACGTGACAGGCACTGCTGCTCCTGGGTGGCATCTTCTGATATCCCTTCCCCACCCTCACTCTATAGCCTCTTCTCCAGGGACCCAAGTGGTCACTCCTCTGTCCACTCATGATAAAGGCCAAAGTCTTGGGCTGTCCACCCAGCTGTCCCTGTGGCTCTCGTGCCCTGTGTGCCACCAGCAGAGGGCTCTCCAGCAGCTACCACTCAGAGACGTGGCCTGCCACGGTTTATACTCCACATGTAGAGTGGGTTGTTCACAGCAAAGGGAGTGGCAAACTCCAGACACGATTCCCACTCTTGCTTGTAAAAATAATGCTGAGCTGATCTCCATACACAAACCTCCGAATGACGGGTGATCTCTTTTGAAGAGAGGCAGGATGAGAACATCGCTGCACATTTCCTGCGTGATTTCCAGACAGTAGGGTCCGTGTCTGCCCCACATCCCCAGGGTTGGCAGACCCCATGACAGCAACCCTGGGCTTTAATTACTTTTTTTTTTTTTTTTTTTTTTTTTAAATTTTTATTTTTTATTTTTTTTTTTTTTTTGAGGCGGAGTCTCGCTCTGCCGCCCAGGCTGGAGTGCAGTGGCCGGATCTCAGCTCACTGCAAGCTCCGCCTCCCGGGTTCACGCCATTCTCCTGCCTCGAGACTCCCGAGTAGCTGGGACTACAGGCGCCCGCCACCTCGCCCGGCTAGTTTTTTGTATTTTTTTTAGTAGAGACGGGGTTTCACCGGGTTAGCCAGGATGGTCTTGATCTCCTGACCTCGTGATCCGCCCGTCTCGGCCTCCCAAAGTGCTGGGATTACAGGCTTGAGCCACCGCGCCCGGCCTTTAATTACCTTTTTGTTGTTTTGTTTTTGTTTTTTGTTGTTTTGAGGTGGAGTCCTGCTCTGTCGCCCAGGCTGGAGTGCAGTGGTGCAATCTCGGCTTACTGCAACCTCTGCCTCCCGGGTTCAAGCAATTCTCTGCCTCGGCCTCCCGAGTAGCTAGGATTACAAGAACCCACCCCAACGCCCAGCTAATTTTTTTGTACTTTTAGTAGAGATGGGGTTTCACCAACTTGGCCAGGCTGGTCGTCTTTTTTTTTTTTTTTGAGACAGAGTCTCGCTCTGTCGCCCAGGCTGG